CCCAAAGCACTGGACCTGGAGTCAGGAAGATCTGAGTTCAAGACCTTTGCTAGCTATATGACACTGGGCTAGTCACTTAATATCTATCTGCTTTAGTTTCCTCATCTGAAAGAAAAAATAATAGCTAACATTTATAAAGTGCTTACTATGTGTCCATCACTGTTCTAAGCATTTTATAATTATTATCTCATTTGCTCTCCATAACAATCCTGGGAGGTAGGTGCTATTAGTATTTCCATTTTACAGACTAAGGAAACTGAGGTAAATAGAGGTTAAGGGATTTGCCCGGGGTCTGAGAATAATAATAGCACCTTCCTTACAGGATTACTGTGAGGATCAAATGAGATACTATTTATAAAATGCTTTGCAAGCCTTAAAGCACAATATAAATAGTAATAGTAGTAGTAGTAGTAGTAGTAGTAGTAGTAGTAGTAGTAGTGGTGGTAGTAATAGTAGTAGTAGTGGTGGTGGTAACAGAAGTAGTAATTATTGTTGTTGTTACAACTACTACTACTATGATTCTCTCAGCTTGGCAGGACCTGCCTGCCTGAGCTTGTGCTCTGCTGAGAAAACCCAGGGTCACCTCTATGACACAACTTGGCTTCTATGGAGTTGTACAAAGTAAGGAATCAAACATTTGAATGGAGACTATGAAGAAAAAACTTACAGGAACTTGTGATTGATTAGAATGCGCCGACTAAGGAAAACTGGGGACCCAGTCAGTCAATAAACATTTATTAAGCACCTGTTATGTACCAGCACTGAGCTAAGCACTATGGATATAAAGAAAGGCACAAAACAGTCCCTGCTATCAAGGAGCTCACAGTTTAATGGGAAGACAACATGCAAACAGGTATGTACTAACAAGATACAGACAGGCTAAATTGTAGCTAATCAATACAGGGAATGCAGTTTGCCTCAGTTTCCTCATTTGTAAGATGACCTGGAGAAGGAAATGGCAAACCACTCCAGTTTCTTTGCCAAGAACACCTCAACTGGGGTCACAATGAGTCAGATGCAACTGAAATAGGACTGAACTGATTTGCACTAAGGGGGAATTAAGAAAAGATGGAATTTTAGCTGTAACTTGAAGGAAGTCAGGGAATCCAGGAGGCATAGAGGAGGAGAAAGACCATTCCATGCATGGGACACAGGCAGTGAAAATGCCCAGAGGAACAGCAAGAAGGCTGGTGTCACTGGATCAAAAGGTGTAAGAACAGTGGAAAGGTAGGAGGGGGCCAGGAAAAGATAATTTAAAGTTTTCGAGCATGAATAACCACAAAAATAATGGTTCCTCAGATGGAAATGGGGGAGTAAGGAAGGGAAACCAGCATATGAGGAAAAGATAATGAGTTCAGTTTGGAATGTGCTGAGCTTGAGGCAAAGGAAGAAGAGATCTCCATTAGGCAATCAATCACCGGGCTATACATTTGTAATGGTGTCCTGGTCAACGAATGCTGGCAGTATGAGCATGCCAATGACATGACATGGAAGGCCCAACTCTCCACTTCAGAGTAAGTGCGCAAGGTTGAATGACCATTTTCTCTTTTTCCGGTGAGGCAATTGGGGTCAAGTGACCTGCCCAGGGTCACACAGCTAGTAAGTGTCAAGTGTCTGGTCTGAGGCCAAATTTGAACTCGGTCTTTCTGACTTCAGGGCCAGTGCTCTATCCACAGCACCACTTAGCTGCCCCATTTTCAGAGCACTTACTGCATGCCTTTTTGTTGACTACTGATTCAGAACTGGGCATGCAAGATTCCCAGACTCAGGTCCCCTTTTAGGCTTTTTTTGGGTTTCATTTTGTTTTCTTTTGTTTGGGCAATAGGGGTTAAGTGACTCGCCCAGGGTCACACAGCTAGTAAGTGTTATGTGTCTGAGGCTGCATTTGAACTCAGGTCCTCCTGAATCCAGAGCCAGTGCTCTATCCACTGTGCCACCTAGCTACCTGTCCCTTTTGGACTTTGATTGAAGTAAGATATGCTGTAGGCCTCTAGGTTCAGGAAGAGATCTTAAGCTTTTCTTACTCCAGACAATATGTGGCCTCTGAATGCATGGTGTCTTGTGTTTTACTTCCTTGCACGTTTTCTTTTACTCTTGAATGGAGTATTGGGGATGCTTGAAAAGTGATCGGAACAACAGTCCAGTCCCAAGAGTCCATACTGAATTTGTGAGATGCCTCAAGGAGTGACTGGGACTTAACTCAGTAGTAGACTGATCCCACAGCCAAAGTTCTGGATCGCACATTGGCTAGGCTACCACATTTAGAAATGAATTTGATGGGGAGATGAAAAACTTGTAGTAAACACTTTTGGTCTGAGCTCATTCTCCCTAGGAATTGAGGTGGTATAGGTGAGAATATGTCTGTGGGTTTAATGGAGTGGTGAATACTTTTATTCTTGCCCTATTTTTAACAGCATATATCCCTTTGTAAAAGCTAATTGATATTAATTGGTTAAATGAAACTGGGCTGATATTGGGCTGATAGTGACTGATATTGAGGAGAATAAGTCCAAATGAAGGCTTGGGCTGAGAGTGTTGAAAGGAATCCCATAATTCCTCAGAGGTATCCCTAGAATCCTGAGGGGAAGATGTAGTCTTGCTTTGGGGGAATCCAATTCTTCAGCACAAGTGGGAGTTGGGATAAGGATTCCCAGAGTTTAAATGGGTTACATGCATGCTCTTCCGGTACACAATTAGAATTGGACAGGGGGATGGAACTTTGGGGATTATTGGCACACAGGTTGATGATAAAGGCCTGGAAAGTGGTTCTATTTGCCAGGGAAGTGAACGTTAAGAATCATAAGAGGTCCGAGGCCTAAATCTGAGGTAACGCTCATATTTAGGGTCAAATGGGGAAGAGAAGGCAGTAAAGGATAAGCAATTGGATGGGAGGATGATTAAGAGGCATAATCTATTGGCTCCTAATTTAGCAAGACTTTCTTTAATATTCCAGTTGTTCTATCTCTCCCTTTTCTGAACTCCTATTACCACACTTGCTTATCCCAAAGAGCTGCATGAGGGCAGAGACTTTTCTTAATTAAAAATTTTTTTCCTTATTTAAAAAAAAATCCTCCCTGTCCTAGCACAGCACTCTCTATGCACATTAGGAGTTAAATAAGTGTTTATTGAATAAAAATGATAGGGATAGGGACAGGGACAAGATTTATAATTTCATTGGTGTACAGAGCTCCCATTTCCCGTTGAAGAATAAAATGGAACCACTCATTAATTAGCCCAGGGCTTTACACAAAGCCAGAGTTAAGTGTTTGCTGAATTGTATGAAACCATAAATTTTTTCTTTTTTCTTAATGAGGCAATCTGAGTTAAGTAACTCGCCTAGGGCCACACAATAAGTGTCAAGTGTCTGATACCCGATTTCAACTTAGCTCCTCCTGACTCCATGGCGGTATCCACTGTGCCACTTAGGTGCCCTCTATGCTGTCCTTAAAGGAAAAAAAAAACTGGAAACTGGGGAAACTAAGTGGCAAAGTGAGTAGAGCACCAGCCCAGGAGTCAGGAGGACCTGAGTTCAAATCGGGTCTCAGACACTTACTGCAGACACTTACTAGCTGTGTGACCATGGGCAAGTCAATCACCCCGATTACCTCCAAAAAAAAAAAGGCCACTATAAGAGACAGTTTCAAAAAGATTCAGGGTGGTAGTGGATACAGTTGGGTAGTAGTCAAGGGTGGGAGAGGAGTTAGAGTGCAGAATGGTGTATTTGAAGTCACAGGACTGTGGTTCGCATCCTCACTCTGCTATTTATTTATTGCGTGACCTTGGGCAAATAATTTAACTTTGGGGGCCTCAGCTTCCTTCCTTGTAGAATAAGGATGGCCTAAATGACCTCCCAACTCTAAAACTAGGAACAATTTGGTTCCTAGAACTGGAACAGACTTCAGAGAGCATCCTATTACAGACGGGGATGCAGAGCAGCGTAGTAGCTTCAACTGCGGACTTCTCTGGACAGCTCCTGAGAGCGAGTCAGTCCAGGAGCGTTTCAAACACTCTTTGCCAGGCCCCACAGAATACAAAGAAAGGCATCTGCCCTCAAGGAGCTCACAGGCTGACGGCGGGAGATAATGCGCGAATAAGTGTGCACACAAAGTATATTCGGTGTAAAGGGAAGGTCCTCTCAGCACTTGCAGTGCGGGAAAGGGAGAGGAACACGCCTTTTGTAGGTGGAATTCCAAGGGGGCAGAAGTGAGGAAGGAAAACATTCCCAGTATGAATGAAAGACAGCCAGGGGAAAGGGTTGCCAGGGGAGAGGAAATGTCCCGCTCGAGGAGCAGGCAGGCCAGTGTAGCCGGGATCGAAGAGTACGTGGAGGCGAGCCAAGCCGTGAAGATGTGGTTTCTCACGCCAACCTTATGTGTTTCCTAATAGTGTGGGCCTGGGCAAATCACTTATGCCTCAATTTCCTCATCTGCCAAATAGAGATAATGAAAGAATCCGTTTCAGAGGGATCGAATAATTATGTGAAATGTAAGCTATTATTATTAAAACGAGCCCAGGAGAGTTAAAGGGTCTTATCAAAAGCCACGCAGCTATTAAGGGAAGCAGTCAGTACTGACACAGGTCTTTTTTTTTTATTATTATTCTAAATCCAGTGCTCTTTTCACCACTCACCACTCATTTTGATAAAATGGGCCCATGCAATGGAACTGTCAAGGTCACATAGACTGATGTTGCAGGGAATTCAACCTCAGTCCCCTGAGAACAAGTGGACGGACTAGGGCAGAGAATGACTGGCGTCACAACAGCACGCCAAGCCCGGCCAGGGTTTGAATGCTCATATTGCTTCCTGGGGGCAAGCCCCCAACCACAGCCACGGGCCCAGACCACTGAAGGGAGGAAGAAGGGGAAGGCTGAGGGTAGTGAGGAGATGGAGAGTCAGAACACTGCAGGAGAAGGGAGGGGGAGAAATGGGAGCACTTCCTACTCTGTGATTGGGTGATAAGAAGGGCGAGGGGCGGGGCTTCTGTGACAACGGGCTCGTAAGCCTACTGTCATGTGATTGGACCAAGATGGCTTTCTCCACGCTGTTTCGCCTGCTGCTGAGCGCTGCGCTCCTCCAATGGCCCTCTCCGGCCTCAGCCTCTCCAGTGACCGAGCCGCCGCAAGAGCCGCTGCCACTGGTCATCTGGCACGGGATGGGTGAGCGGGGCCGGGCCGGGCGGGGAACGGACAGTCGCGGCCGGCTATGCCAGTCGCTGGGGTGCTAAAAGGTGCCGCCGGGTCCCTCTCTCTGTGGAGGAAACGGGGACCCGGGCAAAGATCTCCGGGCAGGAGTCAGGAAGCCGAGGCGCTAGAATTGGCTCTGCCCCCGGCGAGCCGCTGCCCCTCTGGGGGTCCTCGCTCAATGAATGAGAACTCGTCCCATTTCGTTTGCTCTGTTAAGATTGCCTAGACGCCTTCCTGTCAGCAGCCTTGTGGAGTTCCCGCATTTACAAAGGAAATGCCAGCTGCGCGAAGCGGGTAGAGTGCCGGGCCCTGGGTTCACATCTAGCCTCGATACTTTGGTCACGTAACCCCTGTGCCTCAAGCAATGAATGATCTTGAACTTATACGTTGTTGTAGTTGGTGGAAGGTGTTCCTCTTCCCCGCTTTGATCCACAGACTGTAGCAAAGCCTGAAACCTAAGAGTTGGGAAGGATCATAGGGTCAAAGATTTAGAGCTGGTGGGGATCTTAGAGGCTGTCTAGGCCAACCCCTCATTTTGCCGTTGAGGAAAGTGAAAAAACTTCAAAAGACTGATCCATGGTCCCACAGAATTCAGACTGTCTTCCTGATTCCAAATCCACCTCACTCTGTCCACTGTGTCACCTAGCAGCCTGCCAGAGGCCACTTAGTGCACCATGAACCTTCAAGAGAATCTGCTCCGTAAAACCTGATTCTAAGAAAAGCGTTTCTTCCATAATACCTATTACCTTGGAGTCCTTTTTAGCCCTGATATATTAGGATCATAGCTAGAAGAGTCATGTAGTCTAACCTCTTCATTTTGCAGATGAAGAAACTGAGTCCCAGAAAGGTTAAGAGAGTTAACTGACAGAGCGTTAGCTCTTAGAAGAAGGAATTGTACCTTTTCTTTATTTCTCAGGCTCATTCACTTAGCACAGTGCTTGGCATATAATTGGTGCTTAATAAATGTCTATTGATCGGTTGGTTAATGTGCTACACAGATAGTAAGTTGCAAAGCTGAGATTTGAAAACCAAGTTTGGTGATTTCACGTCCACAGTTTGGTCTCCATACTTCTCATTTCTGGGTTGACAGTCATTTTCTTGGGATGAAAAAGGAGAAGCGAGAGCCGCCAACATACCTTTAAATCTATCAGAATTATAGATGTGAAAGAGCTTTCCAGTCTCTAAATTGCTATGCAAACATGAACTGATTCTTCACTGGGGCAAGGAGTTATGATTTTATTGCTGTATATCCCAATTCTTCTGGATCTGTGGATGGGAAAAAAAAATCCATCCCCTGGGACCGTCTCTCTGATGATGAACCTCTCTGAGGTTAGCTAGGACATAGTTCCCACTTAAAGTCTTTGCAGTTTGCCAGGGCTACCAGAGAAGTTAGGCCCACTTCTATACTCCAAGGAGAATATCAGTGGAGGAAGAGATAATTTTCATTATTACCACCCCAAAGGCCCTAAATAGGAAGAGAATGTGCAGCTTAAGTGGTGTATCTAACATGAAGCCTTCCCTGATCTCAGTTGTAGGTGAATTCTCCCTTTCTCATCTCTCTTCCTTTTCTGACCTGTGCAGTCATCACATTCCAACTTATGGCTATTGGTAAATGCCATATTTCCCTACCAAAATGTAGTAAGTCCATAGAATTTAGAACTAGAAGTTGCCTTAAAGCAGATTGTTCAACTTGGAAAGGACCATAGCAGTCATTTAACTCAACAGACTCAGTTGTTAATGATAATAGTAATAGCTGACATTCATGTATCATGTTATGGTTTGCAGAGTGCTTAGTGTGTATTGTCTCATTTCATCTTCATGATACAGTATCTATCAGGTTATTAGTTTGTCAATTTTTTTTCATTGTACAGGTGAGGAAACAAAGTCAGGGAGCTTAAGTGATTTGCCCAAGCTAACACAGGTGGTAGTAAGCAGTCAGGACATGAACCAAGGTTCTCCACCTGTTTAACTGCATCTCACTGAGGATAAGGACTAATGAGATTTTTCATTCCTAGTGCCTTACACATAATAGTAATGATAAAATACTGTTTACATAGGGCCATGAAGTCTACAAAACTCTTTTTCCCAGTAATCTTGTGAAATAGGTAGGCTAATGCAACTAAGAAGTGAAGAATAGTGCTGGACGTGGAGTCAGGAAGACATGGTTTCAAATCCTGCCACAGATATTTGCTAGCTGTGTGACCCTGGGCAAGTCACTTAACTGCTCTGTGCCTCAGTTTGCTCATTTGTAAAACAGGGATGGCTTCCAAGGTCCCTTCTGTGATCTTAAGACAGTACATGTGAAGCATGGTTTTGTTTTTGTTTTTGTTTTTTGCATTATCAGATTTGCTTTTATTACTATACATTAAATGTCTCAGAGTACACAAGTGCAAAATTTCCTAGTGAAGTCAGTCATTCACACCAAAAGATATATGTACATAAGCGCACACACATACATTTTATATGTATATATATATACACACACATATATATATATCATATGATATACAATAAAATACAATAGATTCCATATAAAATACTGTTAAAATATAGAGCAGCAAAGTCCTGGCAAAACATTCCCTAATTTTTTTGGGAGCAGGCCCTGGATCCATTCCAGGGCATCATCTGGCTCCTTGGTGGCCCCGGCCCCACTCTGTCCAGGGACCATCACTGACTTTGGTGTCTGAGGCCACAGCCAATAGCAGGCACTGTTTGCTACAGGTTCTCTTCCAAGTAGTTGTATTATTAGCCTTCCCAGGATTAGAGCTGGACATTTACTCTTTGATCTTCTTTTTATTTATTTTTTTATTATTATTTTTTAGGCAATTGGGGTTAAGTGACTTGCCCAGGGTCACACAGCTAAGTGTCAAGTAAGTGTCAAGTGTTTGGTCTGAGGTCAGATTTGAACTCAGGTCCTCCTGAATTCAAGACTGGTGCTCTATCCACTGTGCCACCTAGCTGCCCCCTCTTCGATTTTCTTGTCGGAGAACATTCTACCCATTTTACAGATGAGGCAACAGGCCCAGAAGAGAGAAGTGACTTGCCCCAAATTACAGCTAGAAAAGGGCAGGGCTGGGACTGGAACCCAAATCTCCCAATCCCAAGGCCATTGTTCTTTCTGTTGCACCAAGTTTGATATATGATTGTGTAAATCGAATCATAGCTACCTCATTGGTGCCCCATTAAGTTGTTGGGACTCCTGAGGCTCATAGATGATTACTTTGTATAACGCCTAGAACTTCAAATGTTTTTCTTTCTTTTTCTCCTGTCTAGGAGACAGCTGCTGTAACCCCTTGAGCATGGGGGCCGTTAAAAAAATGGTTGAGCACAAAATACCAGGAATTTATGTTTTGTCGCTGGAGATTGGGAAGACTCTGATTGAGGTAATACATCCACAAAGCTAAGTCACTGAGAGACTTTGCTAGACGGAGGAGCTCAGGATGTTCTATTTTGGTTGAAGAGTGATTCATATGGTGATTCTTGTTCTGAACTCTTTTAGCACTTTTAGCACTTTTCCTGAGAAGGTCATTTTATTGGGGCTTTCAATGGGCCTTTCACTCTTAGTGACCTGAAGGAGGAAATCCTGGGTGTCTGCCAGGCTTTTGGAAGTATTTCTGTTCCCTTAATATAGAAGGAAACTAGAACTCGTGTAGAGTAAGAGAAGCCTGGCCTGTCAGAGGCCATCACTTCCCCCTACCCCCATCGCCCTTCACTTTAAAGATGAAGAAACTAAGCTTAAGGGGGCCCAGGACTTGCCTAAAGTCATAGAACTAGTTAATAGCAAAGCAGCAACTTCAAAACTGCTCTGTTGGCCTTTGAGCAGAGGAAGCAGAGAAGTTAAGGAGGAGGCTTAGAGAGGCTTTTAATACTGCTGTGACTGTGGGAACTTGGTTTTCATAAGCTCTTCCCTTTCCTCCTCCTCCTTCCCTTTTCCTTCTCCTTCCTCTTCTCCTCTCCCTCCCCACTCCTCTCCTGTACCTTCCTTTCCCTTCCTCTTTCCTTCTTCCTTTTCCTCTTCTCATCCTTCTCTTCCTCTCTTCTCCTCATCTGTTCTCTATTTCCTGCTCTTCTTCTCTTCCTTCCCTTTCTCCTCTCCCTTCTTTTCCTTCCCCTCCCTGTCCTACTCACCTTTCTCCTCCCTTCCTCTCTCCTGTCCTCTCTTGTCTCTTTTCCTCTCTCTCCTATCCTTCTTCCTTCGTTTCCTCTTCCCCTCCTCCCTTCTTTCCCCTCCCTTCTCCTCTTTTATCCCCTTCCCTTCTTTCCTCTCTCCTCCTCCTCTGTCGCCTTCCCTTCTTTCCTCCCCTCTCCTCCCTCCTCCTCTTCAGGATATGGAGAACAGCTTCTTCTTGAACGTGAATCACCAGGTGACTGTAGTGTGTGAGATGCTCGCCAAGAACCCCGAGCTGCAGCAAGGCTACAACGCCATGGGATTCTCCCAGGGTGGCCAGTTCCTGTAAGTCCCTTTCTCTCACCTCGCTAGGGAGGGACTTTTTGATATTTTCACAAAAACAGCAGCCTGTGTTCATTGTGCATTGCAAGGTCCTTTACACATGTGTTCTCATTCAAGCCTCCCAGCAGCCCAGTGAGCCAGGTACTACAGGTGTAATTGGGCCCATTTCACAGATGCAGAAACAGAGGCTCCACGAGGTTAAGTGACTTCCCTGAGAGTCTCATAGCTGGTAGGTGTCTGAGGCAGGATTCCAACTTAGGACTTCCTGATCTTTAGTCCAGAAATGTATTTGCTACGCTATGCTGCCCCTCAGGTATCTGTTTTCAGCCATCAGTCAATCAGGTTTTTATTAAGCACCGCACTAAGTGCTGACGATACAGAGAAAGGCAGAAGACCTGCCCTCAAGGAGCTCTCAGTCTAATGGGGGAGACGACGTGCAGACAACTATGTACAAAGGAGATACAGTCAAGGTAAATTGGAGATGAGCGGCAGAGGGAAGGCCCTCATGTCAGCGGGGGCCGGGAAAAGCTTCCTGGAGAAGGGGGGATCCAGGAGGCCGAGATGAGGAGGGGAGCATCCTGGGCTGGGGCACGGCCAGAGATGGTGCCTGGAGTGAGGAGTGGCAAAGAAAGGCTCCTTGGCGCTGGGCAAGGCCCTTCACCTTGGGGCTGCAAATGAGCATAATACCTATAGTATTATATTATGTATATTATGTATTATACTATATATACTATAGTATAATATATTATATATTATGCATAATACCTATAGTATTTTTACATATATATATATATGTTATATAAATTATTAAGATTAGAAAAGAAGGAAGTGGTCAGGTTATGAAGGGCTTTGAATGCCAAACAGAGCATCTTGTATTTGCTCCTGGAGGTGATAGGGAGCCACTGGAGTTTATTGAATCAGGGTGGGGGTTGAGGGGGGGTTGTGTGGGAGAGAGGGAGAGAGACAAGGTGAGACCTGCACTTCAGGAAGATCACTTTGGCAGCTGAATGGGGGTTGGACTGAAATGGGGAGAGGCAGGTGGACCCACCAGCAGGCTCTTACATGAATCAGGCAAGAAGTGATGAGGGCCTGTACCACGTGGTGGCAACACCAGGAGAGAAGGGAGCATGGACCTGAAACGTTACTAAGGGAAAATCAACAGGTCTTGGCAACAGATGCCTCCTGGCTTGTGAGCCCAGGAGACTGAGAGATTGGTCGTGTCCTCATTGGTAATTGGGAAGTTAGGAATTAGGGAGGATTCAGGGAGAGGGGGAAGGGGGATAATGAGTTCAGTTCGGGACATGTTGAGTTTAAGATGTCTTCAGGCTAGACAGTTCACATGTCTACAAGGCAGCTGGAGGTATGAGTTTGGAGGTCTGGGCTGGATAAGTAGATCTGAGAAACATCAGTAAAAGGTGATGGAAACCATGGGAGCTGATGAGATCACCAAGTGAAATAGTATATATAGAGAGAAGGGAGCCCAGGGCAGAGCCCTCTGGGACAGCCCCAGCTAATGGGGGTGACCTGGATGAGTTTCCAGCAAAGGAGAAGGCACAGTTCGAGAGGTAGGAGGAGAACCAGGCTAGAGCAGTGTCCAAAAACCTGGAGAGAAGGTGGTGTCAGGGAAGAGAGAGGGCTCTGCCGTGTGAAAGTCTGCAGAGAGGTCAAGAAGAATGAAGATTGAGAAAAGGCCTTTAGACTTGGCAATTAACAGATCATTGGTAACTTTGGAGGAAGCCCTTTCAGTGGAATGATGAGGTTGGAGGCCAGACTGCAGAGAATTCTCTGTAAAAGAGATTGAGAAGAAAGGAAACGGAGGCCTCCATCCATCCTCCTCTAGGAGTTTAGCCACAAAAAAGAAGAGATATGGGGTGATAGTTATTGGGGATAGAAGGATTAAGCGAGGATTTTCTGAGGCTGGGGAGACATGGGCATATTTGGGAGTAGTAGGAAAATACACAGTAGACAGGGAGAGATGGCAGGTAAGTGAGAGTGGGGACAATGTGCTGGAGGAGGCGGGATGGAATGGGGTCACATGCAAAGAGAAGGGTCACCTCTTCATGTGAGATGGGATGAAGGAGGAGACAGTGGCCAAAGCTCTCAGAGTGTCAGGAGGTGGGGAGGAGAAGACCGAGCTCTCGGTGAATGGCCTCAGTTTTTTTTTTTTTTAGTAAAATGTGAGGCAGAACTCTCAGCTGAGAGGTGTTTTCGTTAATGTGGGCTCAGTCCTTCCTGATGGTTGCCCTGTCTGTCACTGGTCCTATACCTAAAGCCTCCCCAGCTAGGTAGGATCTCCAGAGTTTGGGCCTGGCTGACTTAGCCTCCCCCTGGACCTCACAGAACACTTTGTTTTGCTACTTTCTGCATTACAAAATATTGTGTGTTTCAGCTGTGGTCTGGTGGTTTCTTATCACTTCTTTCCACCCCCTTCACATTTCCCCCAGACATACAGTCAGTCACTGGTTGCAGTTAAGTTGTTTTCAGTTATGTCTGACTCTTCGAGACCCCGTTTGGGGTTTTCTTGACAAAGATACTAGAGTGGTTTGCCGTTTTCTTTTCCAGCTTACTTTACAGATGAGGAAACTGAGGCAAAGAGAGTTAAGTGACTTGCCCAGGATCACACAGCTAGTGTCTGAGGCCAGATTTGAATTCAGGAAGATGAGTCTTCCTGATTCCAAGTCCAGCGCTCCATCCACTCTAGCGCCCCCTAGCTGCCCACCTGTCACTAGACTGTGGGCTACATGATGGCAGGAGTTTCTCCCCATCTAAAGTTGTATTTCCTCCCTTTATCCTCTCCCCCTGTCCTCAGCATGGGTCCTGCGCACAGTAGGTACCTAATTTTTTTTAAAAAATGCTGGTTGTATAATTGCCTTCTAGATCGTAGGGTTGCTTTCATGCCTTGAAGAGGGATTGGAGGAGGACTTTCGTGGAGGGATTTAACAATTTGTAAATAAAATTGATTTTCTTTCCTTGATTTATATTCCTTCCTCTATGGCCAGGTCAAAGAGTCAAGCTGAGACAAAAAGTAGTGCCGCCGTGGTGGCTGCTCTTCCCCAGGCCCAGGCTGCCCTGGGGTTTTCCTCAGGTGTTCCCTAGTAGGGCTGCCCTTGGGCCTGCCAAGCTGGTGTCAGTTTCTGTCTTATGGGAGGTCAGACTTTGGAGGGAAGCATCTGAGAGCCTGCTTCACGGACTAGTGGCCATGAGAGACCCAGACAAGGCCCCCAGCCCAGCATCTACTGGGGCTGAGGATCCTTGGAGGCAGCATGGTGCAGTGGGAAATGAGCTTCCTTTGGACCCTGGAGACCTGGGTTCAAATTCTGGCTCTTCCACTTCACATCTGCGTGACCTCTGGCAAGTTGCTAAACTTTTTTCTGGCCCTGAATTTCCTCATCTATAAAACAAAGAGGTTGTACTCAGGGATCCCTAATGTCCCTTGTGGTTCTGGGAGACACTTCTTTCTGCCTGGGATCTTTTCTAAAAGGTCTTGGTAGAAAAAGCTTCGAGGCACCTGATTTCTCTTCCTTGGAGGCTGAAAACTTGCCCTTGAGCTACCAGCTGGCACCCTCTTGGATTCTGTGCCTTTAGAGAATTTTAAGACTGCCACCTGTGTGCCTGGAGAATTCTCATTGCCTTTTTGACCCACTGCCCCACTTCTGGCTTTAATCAATGACTGATCAGAGGAGTGGAATGGACAAAAGTTTGAACTCCAGCTCCAGCCACCTCTGGGACCTTGGGCAAGTAGGTCACTTAGCTAACTGAGCCTCAGTTTCCTCAACTGTAAAACGGAGAGAGAGGCATCTGCATGGTCTAGCAGGGGTGAGGAACCTGCAGCCTCAAGGCCACATGTGGCCCTCGAGGCCCTTTGACTGCGTCCAGCTTCACAGAACAAATCCCCGTGATAAAAGGATCTGTTGTGTAAAACTTGGACTCAGGCAAAGGGCCGCACCCAAGGACCTAGAGGTCCAAGGTTCCTCACCCCTTGCTCTAGTGGGTAGAAGTGCTAGCCTTGGAGTTGGGAAGACTTACTTCAGATCCCGCCTCCAGCCCTGACTAGCTCTGTGACCCCGGCCTAAGCCTTCTCCTAGTACTTTGTCTTGAACACACCCCACCCCACCCCACCCTTAATCTCTGTTTACCTCAGCTCCTCAGGTCCTCAGGTACAAGGACCTCCCGGGTCCCTTCCAGCTCTGAATCTAGGATGGGGATCTCTGTGTCGCCTACTTCCCAGGGCTGTTGTAGGGCCCAGACGAGATCAGGGACGTCAGGTTAACCAAAAGCCGGGGTGGGCCGTGGTCAGCTGTTACTAATACTCATGATTCTGTAGGGCTGGGAGTTTCAAAACCTCTCTCACCAAGTGAAAATCTGCCAAACTGAACAAACGTTTCTTAAATATTTACTATGGTTGGGGGTGAGGATTAAGGGAGGAGAGAGAAATAGATAGAAGGGGGGAGGGGAGAGAAAGAGAGAGAGAGATCTCCATAGACCCTGCTGTCTAGATGCTTCTGTTCAGTATTTTTGGGGGTCTCTTTTAGCAAGCTGTTGACTCGTTTTTCATTATTTTCTTGCATCACTCTCATTTCTCTTCCCAGTCTTTCCTCTACTACTCTTAGTTGCTTTTCAAAGCTCTTTTTGAGCTTTTCCACAGAATGAGACAATTCATATTTTTCTTGGAGGCTTTGGATGTAGGAGCTTTGATTTTATTGTATTTTTCTGGTTGTATGCTTTGATCTTCTTTGTCACCAAAGTAAGATTCTATAGTCTGAGTTTTTTTTCCTCTGGTTGCTCCTGTTCCCAGCCAATTACTTGACTTTTTAACTCTTTGTTAAGGTAGAGCTCTGCTTCCCGTGTGGAGGGCATACTGTCCCAAGCTGCAGCTCTTTTCAGAGATACTTCTAGGGACCTGTAAATTTTCAGTTCTGACAAGGTGGTGTGATCAAAGGAGAGGTGTTTTACTCCTTTCCTGGCCTGTGCTTTGTTCTATGAGTAATCACAAGCACTCTTTTCTGCCTTGCAACTGAGAGGAGGATTCTGTGTCCACAGTCGTCACAAGCTCTACCACGCCAGCACTCCTCCTCACCCCAGAACCACCATCTAGGACTGTGACCCAGATCCAAGCATGGGCAAAGCAAGAGTATCCTGCTTCAGTGCCAGCAAAGAGATCCCTCCTGCAATCCCCCTCTGATCAGCCGCTCGATCCCCCCACCATCTGTGGGCCAAGAACCCCAGAAGTAGCCGCTGCTGCTGGGGCCTGGTCTTTGTCTGTGCAGTCCACAATGAACTGTGCTCCTCTCCCAGCCGGGCACAACAGACCTTTCCTATCAACCATTCAGGTTGTCTTGGGCGGGAAATTTGTTTCACTCTGTCTTTTTGTGGGTTTTGCTGCTCTAGAATTTGTTTAGGGCCATTTTTTTACAGGTGTTTGGGGGACAGCTCAAGCAAGTCACTGCTTTTGCTCCACCGTCTTGGCTCCCCAGGAGCTTCTGTTCTAGAGTCTGGGTCTATACGTTCAGCCTATGAGCTTATTTTATACTCTTCTGATCATTGTACTTAAGTATCATTGATTTCCCTTGTGATCCCATGCATTTTATTTTATACATTTAAAACCATGATTCTGAGAAGGGGTGTGCAGGCTTTACCAGACTGCCCAGGGGGGTCCAGGACACAAAGAAAGTGATGAAGCCGAGGCCTTGAGGGCTGGAAGACACCAGACACAGATCACTGTGGTATAAGAAAGAATGAGACAAGTGGAGGGTGGGGGGTGTGCAGGTAAAGTACTAGGCGAAAGGTGAGGCCAGAAGTATTCCTTTGGCCTTGGGGGATTAGGGAGCTGGGCCTTGGAGGATAGAGGCCTTTGGAGGGGGGTGGAGGTAGAATCCCCTTCTTGGCACAGGAAATAGCCTGTGCAGACCCTACCGATAGAAGAGGAAAGGTGGGAATGGGGGATGGAGAGAAGTCCAGAATCTCACCCCGTATAGACTTCTGGTCAGGGCTTAGTCATATGAGATAAACTTGCTCTGGTAAATTGGATTGTTCTTTTAATCTACTTAGTGGTAAAAATAGTAGGGAAGAATTCTCCTGAGAGGATTAAGCAGGGATTAGGTTTGTTCTGTTGGGTCGCTGAGAGCAGAACTGGGAGGGAAGAGAGGCAGATTTAGACTTGATGTGAGGGGGAGAACTTTGTTTATTTAACCTTGAGTTTAAAAACATTCTTTTTAATCTTACTCTGAACCTGAGAAGCCCCAAATCTAAAGAACTTTTCCATATCCGTTGTGGCACAGAAGAGGATCATACAGGAATCTCTGCTCTGTAGAGCTCACTTCTCTTTGCAAGTCTGTAGTAAATTCAGCTCCCCTCCCTCTGAAGGCTGAAGGAAAGGCTCCCTCACACTCAAAATGATCCCAGAGTAGATAGGCTGCCCTGTGACGAAGTCGGGCCCCCTTTGCCGGTGATCCTCAAGCTGCAGCTGGATGGCTCCTCATCAGAGGTGGCATAGAAGGGATTCCTCAGTCAGTCGGTCAGTCAGCAAACCACTACGTGCCAGCCAATGGGCAAAGCGCCATAGATACAGAGAAAGGCAGAAACACGGTCCCTGCCCTTAAGGAGCACCCATTCTAATGGGAGAAATAATGTGCCACGTAGGTACACACAAGACACATAGGGTATAAATGGAGACCAGTCTCAGAGGGAATGCACAAGCAGAGGGTAGCTTTGAGCAGAGCATGGCCTCCAGGTTCCTTCCACCTCCAAGATTCTGTGATGTAGGACAAAGGATGGGTTGTTGACAGGGAAAGGCCTTTCTACATTCTTTTGGACACACAAATACCCATTTGTTTCTTCCCACAGGAGGGCAGTGGCCCAGAGATGTCCGTCACCTCCCATGATCAATCTGATTTCCGTGGGTGGACAACATCAAGGTAATTCTCCCTTCCTTGCCCAGCACCTTCAAGGCTCTGGGCCTCGGGAGGGCAGAATAAAAACCTAGGAGTACCAGTAGGGTCGGGTCAGCAGCCTGTGATGGAATTAGGGGAACCTGAGTTAACTCAGCTCTTGATTCCCACAGAACTGACAGATGGGCTACCGGATTGCTGGCTAATGACCTTCTGATTGATACCTTTGTCCCAGTGGAGGGGCAGGGAGGGAGAGGACAGGAAGCTTCCGAGGCTGCCTGGCAGCATGTTGCTGACTTAGAGAACCGTGCTGTTCTTTTATAGTTCCTATAAATCACCCTTGCTGTTTCTTGACATTGGGGCACAGGCCTGGACTGTTGGGTTTAGTCTGGGGTAAAGACTGGCACTTGGTCTATGCTGCCTTACAAATATTTGGGGGGCTTATGATGAGATTGCTGTAGAAGTTGTAGAATCTTCTTTAAGGAGGAGTGTGGCCACCAAAAGTGGGTTCTCATGAATACTGGCAGAATGACTAGAGAGCTGGCCTTGGAGCCAGAAGGACCTGGGTTTAAGTCCTGCTTATGACAGATCCTGGCTGTGTGACCCTGGGCAAGTCACTTGATGTCAGGGTTCTCTCTAAGCCAGTGATGTCAAACTGAGGTAGAAATTGGGGCCACTAATCCCTACTCAAGAAGGCAGCCAGGTGGCTCAGTGAATAGAGTGCTGGGCCAGGAGTCAGGAAGATCTGAGTTCAAATGTGGCCTCAGACACTAGTTGTGTGACACTGGGCAAGTCCCTTGATCTACTGGAAAAGGAAAGGGCAAATGACTCCAGACTCTTTGCCACGAAAACCCCATGGACAATATTAGCATGCTACAGTCCGTGGAGTCACAAAGAGTCAGACGGGCCTGAACGACAGCAGCAGTCCCCACATGATAATCCCTGGGGGCCTCATGTTGATTTAGAAAACCGTATGCTCACATTAGCTCCATTCTCCTGTATTTTCACTTCTTTGGTTCAGTGTTTTCTGATCACATTTTAATCTGGCATGGCTTTGACTCCTGCTCTGGACAGCTCCCCGAGCATATCAGTTTGTTTCCCCAGGATTCCAGGAGGCATCTGGTCACTTTTGTGGCTGGCCCAGCAAGTGAGTGCATATGCCTTTTCTCCTGCTGCAGGTGTTTATGGGCTTCCTCGATGCCCAGGGGAGAGCTCTCATATTTGTGACTGGCTCAGGAAAACACTGAATTTGGGTGCCTACAGCAAGGGTGTTCAGAAACGGTAAGTAGTGTCAGAACCATGCCGATGAGGCGGCCTTGGGGCTCCCTAGGCAGAAGCTGCTGGGATTTCAGGGAAAAAATAGGCTTGAAAGGAATGCCCCTGCTCAACAGGTGTCAGGCATTTTACTGTTATTTCCCAGAGGAAGGGACAGCTGGCCCAGACTGCCGTTGGTGTTTCCAACCACATACTTGAGAATGAGCATCAGCCTCCAGCATTGAGTCAAGGCAGATGCACCCACTCCTTAATTAGGCGAGGCCTAGACCCCTAGTTGGGCAGCCAGGTGAAGCAGGGAAGAGTGCTGGGCCTGGAGTCAGGAAGACTTTTCTTCCTGAGTTCAAATCTGACCTCAGACATTTACTTGCTGTGTGACCCTGAACAAGTCACTTAACCCTGTGTGCCTCAGTTTCCTCATCTGTAAAATGAGCTGGAAAAGAAAATGGCAAACCACTCCAGTATCTCTGCCAAGAAAACCCCAAATGGGGTCATGAAGAGTCGGACACAACTGAACAACAGACCTGTCTGTGCTGTGCAATGGGCCTTCCCTGGCAAAGCCCACCCAGCTCCATTTGGCTCCTAGGCTCCTAAGGGCACAGAGTTAGAGCTGGGAGGTACCCTAGAGGTCATCAAGTCCAGCCTCTTCTTTTTAAAGATGGAGAAACTGAGGCACAAGAGCCTCCTTTATTCATCCAGGACCATACAGGAAGGAACTGACAGATGTGCGATGTGAATCAGGGTTTCCTGAACCTGCAGCCAGGGTTCTCTCTACTGTCTGTCCTATACCTTAGACAATAAGAAGCTTCAGTGGACACACAACCTTAATAGAAAAGATGTCATCATGTAAACATATGAAGAGAAGAACCTTTGAGAATTATGATGAAAAGGGGGAAATTATTAAACAAGCCAGGGATATAGAGATCGCAAAAGACTTTTGCTAGTTTGGCCTTGCCAGGTTTGTATTACCTGGAAATTTCTTCCATATTTTCTTTGGTGTTTGTTTCTTCATCTGAGCTGTTGTGAGAAAGGCTGAAGAGGGATGAAATAAAGACAGAGTCCTGGGTTCCCTGGGATTCTATGGGGTTAAAAATTATTTAGCCTACAATAAGAGAGACTGAGGCAGAGCTCTGAGCCAATGGCACTTTTTAAAGGGTCCGTGGTCCTCTCTGATGAAGTGGACCTCAGTTCTTCCTCATGATCTGAAATTGCCCCTCCTTCCAGAGCCCTATTTTAATAGGGTTAGATATCTAGACATTCAAGAACAAGTATACCAAATACAGAATAATTTCATTGGTTGACATATGACACATAGGCTAAGATAAGCAAAAGTGATCTGTCAGCAGGCCGTTCACAAGTTGGGTGAAGCAATGAATATCTCCACTGACTGGGTGGATGGGCTTCTCCTTAGGTTAGGCAGGAGCTATACATATGCTCCAAAAACATATTGGGGCAACTTTGCATACCATGCTACCACCTGTGCTTGGCTTGGTCATGGCATTTGATCAAAATAGGATGGAGATATCTTTGTCAACATTCTTATGGTTGCGCAAGTGAGCTCCATAGCTGGTAAACAAGTAATGAACGTTCCATTAAAGTTTGAGGCCTATATTGGGTCCTTCTATTAGAAACTGTATCCCTCTGTGACTTATACAAAGCATGGATCAATGCATTGCTTGTTTTTTACCCAAATGTGCAAAAGAGGCATGGCAAAATACAGAATCTCATTGGTTGATAGACCTTGCTCTTGAGGGCCAAAAATGACATATTAGCAGGGGAGGGGCGTCACAGATTGGATAAAGCATAGGGCACCTCCACCAAGTGGTCATAAGATGGTCACCTGCTTGTGTTGGACAAGAGAGAATGGTCCAGATGCACAAAAATAAAATTGGGGGACTTTCCATGAAGTTGAGTCATTTCCACCACACTAGGCTTTGGTCACCATGACAAGGAAAAACAAAGATGGCAGGTCTCTAGTTAACTTACAATCTGCTGCTCACCACTCTGGGCTCAAATATTCAGAACTATATAATATATGTATGTATATAGAGATATTATTTATTTATAGAATTATAATTTATATAATAAATTATATAATTTATATATTATATAAATATAATCACTACCCCTGTAGAATCATATCAAATTGATTGATGCTGATTGGAATAGAGTAGGGATCCTCAATGAATCAACCTTCTCAATTCCATTACTCCACTAACCAAAACCGTTTGGCTGCCATCCCTCAACTAGCTCCACATCCCTTGAATTGTCCTGTTTCGACTCACATTTCTATGTTTGTTTGTTTACAAGAGACTTGATCAGCCAAAACCTGGATATTCTACTTGGGACCTGCCTCTTCTCTACTAGTCTGGCAAGCCTTTCAAAGAAGGAGTTCAGTTCAGCTTGGCATAGCTCGTGACTCCTAGTGATCGCTGCTTCCCTCTCTAAGTGCCCACAAACCATCCATCAAAGTATCATTGTAGGGACTTTGCTAAGTGAGCATCAATGTTGGGCTGTAATTTCAGAAATGATTCTTCCCCTCTTTTTGAAAAGCCCACTGCCCATCTCCAGTCCCCTGACCCTTTCCTAGTGGCTGCCAATCCCCAGAGATTGATGACAGAGGGTTGCAAGTTCCTTAAGTAGCCAGTGGGGGTCATTCTTTTGGGACTGGGACTGGAAGCCACGTAAAGGCTTACTACCCCTTCATTATTTGGGCGGTTGGTTCTCTCTGAGTGTTTGTGTTTGTTCATGCCTTTCTGATAGTAAAATCATTCTAATGTAAAAATAAGACAGTGGCTGATCAGAAATGAAGGCACTCCTCTTTCTCTAGGACGGTCGGATGGAATGGGGGGAGGTTGTTGGACTTGGAACCAGAAGTTCTGGTTCAGTTATTTATGGCTGTGCATCCTGGAAAAGTCACCTGACTTATGAGTCCACCAGCAGCTGGGGATGCAGTGGCTGGAGCCCTGGAGCTGGAGGCAGGAAGACCTGAGTTCAGATGTTCCTCAGGCACTTACTAGCCGTAACCTCCATTTCCTCATCCGTAGAATAGGGGAAGTGAGAGAAGCCCCTTCCCAGGACTGTGGTGCGGTGTCACAATGAGGAGAAGGCCAGCACTAACCACGTGCTGGGAAGGCGGCCCTTTGGGACTTGTGGCTAAACCCTCTGAGATGGGCCACTTCTCTCTAGCTCCTTGGGAGTGGGGACTGGCTGGCTTTTCCGTTTGCAGTTCCCATTAGTTGGCACAGAGTAAGCCTTGCTAAGTTCTTTTCCTTTCATCCCAACATCATGCTAGGAATGTGCTGTTTCTTGTGGGCTGACATGCTCCTTTGTTGGTGGCCTCTTTGGCCTGGAGGTGGCCCTTACATTCACACCAGCGAAACACACATCCTTCAGGTTCTTGCCAGGCTAAAAAGGCTTTGGAGTATTTCTTGTCCACTCACTGTATTTTTGGCCAGTGAAGTTCACGAAGGTGATCTGCTGGGGACATGGAGGGATGGGCTCTAGCCTGCGTCAGTCTGAGGGAGGGAGCGTCCCCACCGAGAAAGCCACAGACCACAGGAGTCCTGAACGGGACCATGTCTGCCCCAGGTGGTGGGCTCTTCCCAGCCGTGTCTTTCTTGCTTGTTGTCCTTAGCTTTTGCCCTGAGCCACAGCTAACTTCAGGTGCCAGCCTTCCTGATTCTTGGTGCCCTCCTGCTATCATCCTTAGCTCTGTGCCCCACCTTCATCTTTTGCACAAGTCCTTTGCCCATTGCCACCCATGGACATATCTTCCTCTGCTTCATTAGAATTTTTCACATGAGAGTCTTCCTTGAGCCTTCTTCCCCTCCCCTTTAGAGTTCTCTGGCCATGGGAGTCATCCCTAACTTTTCTCTGAACTTTTGAGCCCTTTTCCTGAAATACACATTTGACCAACTTCAGCAAAGTTGTTTTTACACGTAGTTGGACAAAATATATAAGAATTATATTTTTTAAAAATCATGTTTTCTAACCCCACCTTGTTTTATAAATGAAGCAACTGAAACCCAAAGAGTTTGTGACTTGCTTAAGGTCACACAATGAATAAGTAGAAGAGGTTGGATTTTATAGCTGTGTGACTTGGGCAAGTCTTCTCCCCTCTTATATTTTGGTTTCCCTATCTGTAAACATGAGACTGTATGTGGGAGAAGTGGGGTTGAGGTTGAGAAGGCCCATTCTGAGCAGCAGGTGGGACTGGCTCAGAGCATGGGTGAACCACCCCAGAGAGGTGCTTATTACCAAATGATCAAGAACACAGGGATTTCATTCATTTATTCATGATCAGGGTGGGCCAGATCTTGGGATTAAAAATTAACTCAGCCAAGTTAGGAAGGAATTAAAAGAAGCAGTAATTACCAAGTCAGTTGAATTTAATTCAATAAACATTTATTAAGCACCTACTAGTGCCAGGTACTATGCTGAGTGCTGGGGATACAAAAAGAGGCAAAAGACAATCCCTGCCCTCAAGGAGCTTCCAATCTAGTGGAGAGTTAGAGGCAGCTCTCCAAGTGTTACAAGAAGCTCTGGACTGGGAGACGAAAGATTTGGGATCATCTCAGCTCTGCCATTGACTTTTTCCCCCTATTTATTTGTCTATACATTCATCTTTTAAATTTTGAATTCCAAAATTCTCTCTCACTCCAGCCCTTCCTCCACTCATTGAGAAGGCAGTTTTATATATATATTATAACCATTGGTCTGTCCTCCCTTTCCTTACACTGCTGGGCTGATTACCAGGTACTCACCCTCCACGTCTTCACTGTCTCTTCTCCCCAGCCCCTGTGTTCCGGCTTCCACCCCAACCCCGACACTAAAATCACACGATCAAAAATCACCTTTGAGTTTCTTTAAGAAGAAAAAAGACTTTCCTCGATACCTTTTGTTTTCACATTACCTAGCTTTCCCCTCTATCATTCCTCCTTCCCCCCTTCCGGAGAGCCATCCGTGATAAAAAAGAAACAAGACAAAAAGAAGAGCAGAAAGATCCAGCCCCCCGCTGAGTGCACCAGAAGAGTCGGATGTTCCTGCCGCAGCAGAGGAGAAGGGGAAGACGTCCTCTCCTCTCTTCTGTGGGGCCGAGGTTGCTCCTTATGTTGGGGGATGCTGCTCCTGGCGATCAGTGTAGTCCTTGTGTGTGCTTGGCTGGCTTCACTTTGCCTCCGTTCTTCCTCTGGCTCATACTGGGCCTTCCTCTCTTCTCTCTCTAGACTGCTTCACTTGGTCGTCTCTGTGCTGTTAGTAATTGGGAGCATTCTTTCATGGTACTAGTTTGCAATTCTTTTTTTTTTTTTTGGCTAGGAAATGGGGTTAATGGGGCTAGGTGGTGCAGTGGATAGAGTACCAGCCCTGGATTCCAGAGGACCTGAGTTCAAATCCGACCTCAGACACATAACACTTACTAGCTGTGTGACACTGGGCAAGTCACTTAACCCCATTGCCTAGCCAAAAACAAAAAGACATAATTAGCCTAGCTGCCTCTTTTTTGAGAACTGTTTGTTCTTACCTTTTGACCACTTCTCAGTGGGGAATACCATTATCTTCTGGTCAGATCCAAAGATGAAAGCTTCTCAGCCCTCATTTTCCTTGACCTCTTTGTAGCATTTGACAAGTGTCGATCAATTTCTCCTTGGAACTCTTTTGCCTTGATTGTGCTCTAGTTAGCAGAGTGGGAACCCATCCCTTCCCATCTCTCCAGCCAAGTCCTACCCATCCTTCATGACCCAGCCCAACCTCACACCTTCAGCATCCTCCCAGACTCTTCCATGCACACGGATCAACCCCATGTCTCCTTCTCTCGCGCCGATCATCCGATCTGCAGGCAGCCTCTTGCTTTACGCTGCCTCCTCTGATCGCTTTTTACAGAAGGCTTGTCTTTCCAAAAGGAGAAGCAGGGAAATGTTAGAGAAAGGTACTTAGCGCAGTGCCAGGCACATGGTAGGTGCTATATAAATGCTAGCTGTTGTTTTTGTTGTTGTTATGATTGTGATGACATGGAAAGGACACAGAAGACTTGAGTGTGTGTCCCAGCTAGGATACTGTCTAGTGTTGTTTGTGGGCAAGTCATGACTTTCATTTTTATTACTTGTCAAGTGAGGATATTTGCCCTCCAGGCCTCTGAGGGTTGTTGTGAAAAGTGCTTGTGTGTGTGTGTGAATCCATTTAATAATATGTAATATTTTAATATTAATTTGATGTAAATATTTTAATAATAAAAGTTAGCCAAGGAAGGTGGAAATCTGCTATTTGTATTTACTCAAGGAAGGCTTCCTAGAGGAGGCTGCATGGGGCAGGATCAGGGGCAAGGTTGGAGGGGGGAGTGTTAAAATAAAAATATGTTGCAAAGGGAAATGAAGGTGTGTTATATGCCCAGTTAATGGAGGTGGCAGCACATATGACAGGCAGCAACGTGGTGCAGTGGATAGAGCTCTGGGCCTGGAGTCAGAAAGACCTAGATTCGAATTTGAATTCACACGCTCTCTGTGTGACCCTGGGTGACCCACTGTCTGCCTCGGTTCCTCACCTACCTCCCAGGATAGTTGTGAGGATCTGTTGAGATAGTATCTGTAAAGTGCTTCGCAAACTCAACGTGCTATGTAAATGCTGCCTGTGATCATGATTATATGCTATGATGCACAGAGCACTAGACTTGGAATCAGAGAACCTGGGTTTGAATCCTAGCCCCGCCACTTACCACTGCTGTGCCCCTCAGCCTTCCCTGTGTGGGCCTCTCTCTTGTTTGCCCTCTGTAAAATGGGGAGGCTGGTGGGGGCTTCTTAAGGTCTGTTTCAGCTTCAGCCCTTACCGTAAGAGATAATATTTGAGCACGCAACGTCTCATATATCTTTGTGGCCCATCGTTTCCAGCAAAGGAGATGCCCAGGACATGTCCTCTCCTGTGTTTATGCTGTGTCTAGCCCACTCTTCCCTAGCCCTCAATCTGAAAAGTTATTGTGGGGTTCTTAAGGGCTGGGGCCATGTGCCCCTGCTCCCCTCCCGGAACCCTCAGCCCCTACACCTGTGAAAGACCGCACGCCATCAGGCTTGCCGGCCTCTTTTCCTGTCCCCTGCAGCTTGGTACAAGCAGAGTACTGGCACGACCCCATAAAGGAGGATCTCTACCGCAACAATAGCATCTTCCTGGCTGACATCAACCAGGAAAGGGTAAGTATTTTAGGGCCGCTGCCAGAAGCCTTAGCAACATGAATTCGCCGTATGGGACTGTTTGCCCCGGCCCTCTGACCCATATGAAACATGGCCCTGCAATGGGGGGAGGTGACCTTTACAAAGATGGGAAAGAGGGTGTTGGGGGTGGGGGTGGGCTCAGAAGGCCTGGCTGCATGACCTTTGCTAAGCTGCTTGGGGGTCTGGAGCTAAGTGGTCTCTAAAATCCCCCCAATTTTACGACATGGCTTTTATTTGTCCATCAGTTTCCCCACTTTCTCTCTTGGGCTGAAGACGGGGCAGGATTTTGCCAGCCAGGGCAACTCCTACCTCTTCGATGAAGACTTCCTGGAGGAGGCAGGATTTTAAACAGGTCTGAGAAGAATAGAGAGGTGTTTGCCCTGGTTTGATGAGGACAGAACTAGAAGCTGGGCCTAAGGGGAGGTAGAGATGAGGATGGGTCATCCAACAAGAGAGGGATCTGATACACAGATGGGGAAGGGAATCCTCTTCATGCTGGACAGTGACTCAGGCTGGGACAAGAGCTGCGTCCCCTCCCACAAAGGCCATAGCCCATATCTGTTCCCGAAGGGGACTGCCAGTCATTAAGAACCTGTTCTCTCTCCCAGGGCATTAATGAGACCTATAGGAAGAATCTGATGGCCCTGAAGAAGTTTGTGATGGTTAAGTTCCTCAATGACTCTGTTGTCGACCCAGTGGACTCAGAGGTGAGATGGCGGGCGTCCCAGAGACTTGTAGGGTGCTGAAAGGGAAAGAGCAGCCTTGGAAAGATTCTAGCCTATGTCCTAAGATACATATTTAGAAGTAGCTTCAGGAGCCCTGTTTCCTGGTGGTGTAGGGCAATGAGCCCCGCATTGGGAGTCAGGAAACCTGGGTCTGTATTTTGGTTTTGATACTCATGGGCTGTGTGATCGTGGCAAGTCATTTCTCCCTCTGAGCCTGCTTTCTCCTCTCTGCAAAATAGGGATAATATGACTTGTGTCACAGTTGGTAGTGTTTGTAAACAGGAAATGCAAGTTATTTTTAGGAAGGGATCCCCCCTACTATGTACTTCCAAGACCCCACGGTACAGAAAATGTGCTGGGATCCTAAAGGCCAGGCCAACACGGTACAATAGAACTGACAGGCTCTGGGAAGGCTTTAGAGACAGGCTGGTTATCTGTTGCCCCCAGGACCAGCCTAGCTAAGTGTGGAAAAGCTCACCAGAAGGTTGCCCACAAAAAAAGACCCGAGTTCAAATCTTGCCTCAGACTTTCACTAGTCATGGGAACAAGTGACTCAGCTTTTCTCACCTTCAGTTTCCTCCTCTGTTAAGTGGGGATAATAATAATGTTTACCTCCCAGGGTTGTTGTGATGATTAAACCAGATAACATATGTAAAGTGCTTTGTAAACCTTAAAGCTCTGTCTAAATGCTAATTAGTAACGACGATGATATCATTGTTGTAGCAGTTCATAAAGATGTCTGCAGAGGTATCAAGAGGGTTGGGATCTGCAGTGGAACCACCCTAGTGAAATTAGAAATATTTGAAATAGAGGGAGATTAATGAAAAGGGTGCTGAGCTTGGGAATCAGAAGATGGAATTTGAATCCGGCCTTGGCAGATTACTAGCAGTGTGACCTTGGCCAAGTCACTTAATCTCTCCCTTACCCTTAGTTTCCTCATCCATAAAATGGGGATAATAGCACCTGCCTTGCAGGGCTTTTGTGAGAATGGGATGAGACAAGTCTGTACAGAGTGCTTTAGAGACCTTCAGCATCCTATAATTGTGGCTATTAGGAATCATAACAGCATTGAGGAAATGTGATGCACTGGCCTCCCGTTACCTGGGAACCTCCTGTAGGGCACAGGAAGGAGTGTTGGATTTGGAGTCAAAAGACCTGGGTTCAGATGTGAGACTTTCCTCTGCTACCAGAGAGTCTTTGGGCGAGTCCCTGTTTCCCCATATGCCCCAGCAATAACTCTTGAGAAATTCTTCCATTCTCAGGCGGGCTGACAGCCAGAGCCAGGCTGCTGATCTGACTGTGTCTTCTCTGTCTGTCCACCTCCTCCCCACCACCTTTTCCCACAGTGGTTTGGATTCTACCGAAGCGGCCAAGCCAAGGAGACCATCCCTTTACAGGACACTTCCCTGTACACTCAGGTAACAGGAGCCGACAAAGTTAATTTTCAGGTGGTGGGAAGATGGGGAGGGAGTTAAAACTCATTTCAGACCTGAGTCAAAGCTGGTAAAACAGGAACCCCAAGTTCCTTGGTTCATGTGGCCTGAGTATGAGAGCAGAGTAGGGGAGGAGACAATAGGGTCTTCCTCCCTGGAGGATTAGACTTTCCAAATTGGTCCAGCTTTCCTAGCACGCTCTGAGTGACTGCTAAAGCCTCTCTTCCCTCTTCCCACGGTGCAGTGAGGAGGAGAGGCCTACCTTATGCCATCTGGGCACTTTCTTCTCTGGACGTACCCGACTCATTTCTGACATGGGTTTGTTGGCTTTTCAATAATAATCCTGTGGTGACTGTTAGGTCAGAGGTGTTCTCTGGGACCAGGAGTCCGGTCCATCCCACCTTAACCTTCTTCAGGGCTTGAGAGCACCTGTGCCCAGAGGCAAGCGGTAAACATTTACTGACTGCTTACTTTGTGCTGGGCACTGCAGCAGAGTACAGCCCCTGTCCTCAAGGGGCTTACACTCCAGCGGGGGAGGGCACTGGCAATGGAGGATGGCCGTCGTGGGCCCCAGTCAGAGGCAGACAACAAAAAGCACTGGGCTTGGAGTCGGAGGAGAGCTGGTTGTGAATGTTGGCCTGCACATAATACTGCTAACCACATAATAGTGTGCAAGTCGCGTCTTTTCAAGCTCTGGTTTCCTTCTGTGTCAAATGGAGACTTAGCGAAGCCTTCCCCACAGCATTTTGAGGGAAGTACTTTGTCAACTTTAGTGCACTGTCTAAATGTCAGGCTATTATTAGTCCCCCAAGCCTTATAGTGTAGGGGGAAAAAAATCCCCTCTTGCTGTATCAGTTACTTTTCACAGAAAGATTTTGGGCTCCATACGGTGTTTGCTGCGTGTTGGCTCCCTCTGGCAGGGGCTCAGAGCCAATACAAGGCCATCTGGGAGATGGAGCACTAGAAACTTATCTTCGATGAAACCCCAAGTGCATAATTAATGGCCAGGGAAGAAAAGGAGTCTCCCTCAAATACATGTCAGGGTTTTGAGCAAGGGTGTGGATTTTGGGGAGGGAAGCAGTGGGGAGGCCCAGTGGCTGGTTCCTCTAACACACTAACTGGCTGCCTCTTTTCCTGGGGCTTTTACTGTGGAATTCATTTCATCAGTATTTAGGCCCCACAGCAGTTGCGCCTGCCACTGGGGAATCTGTCCCAGTTCAAGTTGGCCAGAGTGCTGAATGACCGACACCTCTGACTCATTTTAGAGGCCCCTCTTTCTCTGATTTTGGAAGGCCCAGCCCATGTGCAGTAAAGCCCAAGGGAGTGGGGCAGTGTTGCTAACTACACATTTTAAACTGAACTTGGAGCACTGAGTGTCAGCATCGGGGCCCTTTGGATACTGCTTCTTCCCATGATGATTTTTCACAGGGCTTGCTCTGGCAGGGTTTTAATAACTGATTTTCCTCCTAACCAGAGGTCTTGATTTCCTAGTTACCTGGTACACAGCTTGGCTTCTCTACTCTAATCTCAGGCTATACTGCCTGTCTGCCATTTTGGGCTGAAGTTGTAAAAACCCTGTCTCCTGGCTTGGTAATTAGAGCTTAGCATCAGATGGGTGCTGGGCAGTTCCATCACCTAGCCCCAGGCTTCACCCCTGGGTTTAGGCCCCAGGAGACAGCTGCTGTGTTTACAAGTCTACAGGGTGGGATGAGAACACTGGACTCTGAACACCCATCCTCTGATGGGGATGAGAATCCCAGCTCCACCTCTCCTGATGCATCAGGGCAATCTGGCAGAGCCTTTGAAGTACTTTTTAGAATAATGCTTTTAAAATGAACAAAATAAAATACAGAGGAAACCAATTATTTCGAGATAAAGATTAAAATTTTTTCCCCCATCCAACTTTATGATTCTCCCTGAAATTTCTTTAGACCCCTCAGGAGAGGATGGGGTCTGTGGACCCCAGGATAAGAACCTCTATCCTATGTTTACATAGAATTTCACTTTTCAAGACATGAGTATACGTGTGTGGGATAGAGGTGAAGGTGGGGTGTTAGTGGGAAGGATTTTTAGAGAATCCTTAGCCCAGAGACCGAACATCCGTGGCCAAGGTGCTTACTGGGCCATTTATAGGGTGGGTGGCCATCCTCCCTCTTCCTTCTCCCCAGCAGATGCACATCAAGTAAAGCCCTAACCTTTAACTGTTGCACGAGTACAGACCAGTTCCTTTTACGAGGTCATGAGAGTAAAATTTGAATGAACAGGGCCAGGAATAAAACACCTGAGTTTTCACAGTCAAGTTGTGCCAAAAACCAGGCACCACAGCGGGCCAGGATTTAAGCCCTTCTGTATGCCCACCTGCCTCTAGGGCAGATGCAACTCTACCCTCCTGGCCAGACCAACGCCTGGCCTTCTTCAGGCTGAAGGTTTAGAAGCCTGTTTAGGGAGCGTCTCATTTTCCATCAACTTGATTTTCAGTCATAAGATTAATGCTTTTTCTCTCTTCAGGACCGCTTGGGGCTTAAGGAAATGGACAAAGCAGGCAAACTAGTCTTCCTGGCTGTAGAGGGGGACCACCTTCAATTCTCTGAGGAATGGTTTTACACAAATCTCCTTCCATTCTTGGTGTGAAATTCTTGCTTCATTGAGGTTACTAAGTGCAACAAGAACTATAGGCACTCCAGCATTTCCACGGCAACTTGGGGGGAGGGGAGGGGTGGGGGTGTGCGTGGGGTCGATCAGGACTGTACTCTGCCCTTAGATGCAACTAACACTTCACTCCTTTCCTCATCTGACACTGTCTGAGGAGACAGAAGATCCTCATCTTATCTGCTCACTCCTCAGGCCTAATCCCACTGCCATATGGTAGGGAGTCCAAGTTTCATTAGCTAATGAGTATAAGGATTGTTTTACATGTCCTTGACTGTGGTCAAACCCAGTTCTAGGTTATAGACCACTCTGTAGAAAAACCAGGAACAAAACAGTAACTGCTAGAACATGCCCTCCCCTCAAAAATGTGAATTGCAGGGAGCCAACCTGAACTATAACTACTATTTCCACTTGGAAATAACTTTCCTCTGGCTAAATGTTACACCAAGAATATAACGAAATGAGGTGATTAAGCAATCAGAATTGTCTGGATTTTCAATTTTGCCAGTAGAGTCTCGACCAAGGAAGTAAGCAGCCTTAACTGGTGTAGTGTGGCCTTTGGGAGCTCTCAGAGAACTTGACTGGAATGCCTATGTGGTGGTCCCTGGTGAAGTAAAACACACAGTGTTTTACTCCCCGTGGGAGGATGCCAAAGAAAACAAGCCTTCTGGCACAAAAGGTTCCTGTGGCCTGGGCACAAGAGCAAAGCGGGGGAGGAGACAATAGGGTCTTCCTCCCTGGAAGATTGGACTGTTTCCAAATTGGTCCAGCTTTCCTAGCACGCTCAGAGTGACTGCTAAAGCCTCTCTTCTCACAGTGCAATAAAAGGATTCTCTCCCTTTGGCACCCGTGTATCACACCCTGAAGGTGAAACGAGCATGGCAAAGCCTGCAGCGTCTTGTCTCATACCCACCCCTAGATTCCTGTTCAGTGTTTAATTACCTTTTCTGAAAAATAAAAATATTGGTTTCTTACTTGGTATCAGTCTTTTAACAATTTCATTTTTCTAACCACCGCAGACCGTAGCCAACGAGTGAGCAAGTTGGCATTAACTTTATTCTAGTTTCTGTATAATTTTAAGTACATAAAGGTTTATTCCCACAAGCCTCAGGAATGGGTAGAAGTCACAGGACAGCCCCCCCTCCCCCCCACCAAAAATTTAAAAAAAATTGCATATTTTAGTAAATATTCTAAAGGGAAAATAAAAACCATTTATACATAGGAAAAGCTATTCAAGGCCTGAAACCATCAAGTTCAAGCCCATGCAACAGCCTGTATCGGAGGCTTCATGCTTCTGTTCAGGATATAAACAAAAGCCATAAACCTCCCAGCCAAGAAAAAGTCAAACCGTTTAGGGACAAGAAGGCAGCCGCCAAGAAATGTGGCATGAGCCAAGACAATTCTGAAAGAGAACAGATGACAGGCGCCTGTCAAGATTCATCATAGTTAATGGAAGGGAAGAAGGAATGCCAGATTCCTTGGAATGATTTTTTAAAAACTTCTGAACGGAGGTGCTTGGCCGACACCCCAAAGGCTCACATGAAGAGGACCCAGCTTTCACCTAACTGCTGTAGGTGGGGTGGACTGTCTGTTGTAGCCCCGACTTCCTCTGGCAGCTGGTACAAGGGAACCTCCTGGCATGGCACAGACAGAATGAGAGGAGAACGTGGATAAAAGGAATGCTAACAGGGAAACAGGTCGGCTTGGAATGCCGTGTGCCCGAGTGGCGGCCTTTGGTCCAGGGCAGCCATGTCACCAGGGCCCAGGAACATCACTTGGTGCCAGTGAATTAGTTTGGTTAGAATATCTAGCTGGGGTTACACGTCAACTCCACTACCTTCCTGAAAAGCATTACCAAAAGGCCTAACCCTCGCAGGAACAACCTGGTCCATTCATCCAGAGGGAGCCATATGTGTCCCCCTCCCTAAAGCTGAAGCCCATCCAAAAGGGTCTCGAGTTCACCAAGGAGGGACTGATGGTGTGGTTCAAGCTGACATGGAGAAGATGCACCTTCCTGCAGATCACATGCAGAGGCCCAACTGACCTGCTGCCCCACCCCACATCTTGGCCTGAGGTATATTCAGTGAAGGCAGGTAGCTGTACTTCTCCAAGGAAAGAGAAGCCTTTAAGAGCAGAAAGGTAGAGGAAATCTAGAAGAGAATCATCTGAATGCAAGTGTATCCCATGGTTTGGGAGGGGGGAGGGCACAGGACCCAATGGCACTCTCCTTATCCAGCAATTTCGGTCACTGTGGTAACCAACTTCTGCCCATTCCACAGTGTCTTGAACTGCTCAGGGACAGGGAACTCGTTCTGCAAACAGGGAGAAAAGGATTGTCAGTGACTTGGCTCAAACAAACAGTGCAGTCTAACAGTACTACATGTGAAGTCAAGAGACCGATTCAAACTCTGGGATGCTGGGGAAGTAACTGGACGTCTAGGAGCCTCAGTTTCCCTACCTGCCATTCTTGGGAGGGAAAAACCTTTAGGTTTATAAAGCACTAGAGAAATACGGTCCGATTCTGGACCTGTGCTACTTCTGCTGGAGCCGGGGGAGGGGGGGTCGGGGTTGGTGATAGTAAATGGAACAAGAATAACCCTTCCCTAAAAAGGACTATACAGGCTGCAATGCCACCGCACTGTAACCTCGGGCTATGACCCATACTACTGATTGTGCCGCAGCTCTTAGGGTGGCCCCGGCCTAGGCTCAGTAACGATTCCTTGTGAGTCAGCTCCTGCTACCTAACACATCAGAGCAGAAAGATTGGACTGCTCCCTGCAATACAGCTCCCGCTCAGAGAACCACAGGAGAAGAAAGAGCTTCTTGGAAGTTCTACAATATGGTTCCAGCTCCAATCCCTCCCTCTGATCTTGTCTGGATTGCAGAGATAAATGGCTTCAATTAACAGGCATATCTTAGTACCTCTGTGCCAGGCGCTGTGCTGAATGACTTGGTTTTGTCTGCTCCATGAAGAATTCCCACCAGTTAGTTAGCTTTCTACTCCAACCAGAGAGGACTGGTTATCGCCTCAAGAAATCCTTTCACTCTAATTTCCCTCCTCTGCTCCCAAGAACCCCAGGGGTGAGGGCACTTACAAAGTCACCACTTTCTGTGGGAATGAGGACATTCATCTCAGAAGACTTGGCACTGACTATCTCACAGTCCAGAGAATTCTTGCTCAGGTATATGTGGCAGCCATCTGTCTTATTGATGGAAATAGTTGGCACTTTACCCATCACCTGAAGAGAAAGGAAACAGAAGACTCTAAGTCCAGCACTTGGGGCCAGATATTAAGTGGCAGGGTCAAGATTTACACCCAGGTTCTGCCTGTGACAGCTGTGTGACCTGAGACATCACCTGCTTCTCTGGGCCTCAATTTCCCCCACTGTGAAATAACAGTTAAACTACAGGGTCCTGCAAGTTCCTTTCCAGCTCTGACATTCTGAGGCCATGAGTCTCTAAGCCAGTTCCCCACCAGTGGAGACCTGCAGAGGTTATCTAAAGGGGCTCCCGCTCCTCTACCCTTACCACCCAAGTGATCAGCTTTCAGCCCCGTGCTGAATCTGACTCGCCATCAAGGAAAAGAATGCAAAGTAACCTGTGAGGGAGCACCCGTGTCTGTCTCCAGGGTTCCTCTGGGACTAAGAGAAGGAGCCAAGGGATTGGGTTACCTGCACTTTGATGTCTCTGCTGTTTATGATCTCCACAATCCCCACGACGTCATCAAACACCAGGCCAAGCTTCTTACAGTTATCTAGAGAGAGAAGGGGCTGTTGTTCCTTGCCCCCCCCCCAAGTCTCCTAGCTGACACTCTGGGTTCTGACACACTTTGGTACCCAGAAGCCCCACGCGGGAGGGCCACGTGCACTCACCTAGTGTGATGGAATTGATTTTGCCCTTGATATGGAGTGTAGAACTCACACACTTGTATATGTAAGCCACCTGCTTCAGCTCTGTGTCACTTATCACTAGGTTGGAAACATTCTCCTGGTTTTCCTGTTAAAGATGGAACACCTCCATTAGAGTCTACTAGTGAAAAGCGTTTCTGCTGCTTCGAAGTCTTCCTGATCTCTGAGCATATATCTCAGGCTAAGCTGTCTGCAATGGCTCCCAACCAAGGTCCAAGCTCCTTCCCCGGGCATGGGGGGCCTCATACGAGGCAGCTTGACGCGCCCCTTCCATGTTACTCTCACTGTTGCCCTTTATATGTGGTTCTCTGTTCTAGCTAAAGGAAAACTACCTGTGGTTCTTTCTCTATATTCAGCTGCCTTTCCGAGCTTCTCTGTTCAGGCAGGTTATCCCATGCTAAGAAGGGCCTTCTCCAGCACTTTACCTCCCCACTGAAATCCTTTCTGCTCTTCAAGGCCCAGCTGGCATGCTAGCTTTCCCCTAACACTCAGCCCAGACAGAAGCTGTTCTCTCCTCAAAAGGCTCGTCGTTCTATTTAAACTCTTCCACGGACCCGTCACCTCATCACTTACGTGACAGTGATCTGTGTCTTTGGTCCCCCACTAGATTATAAGGTTCCTTATGGCAAGAATTAGATTTCATTTTTCTGTTCCCCACATCAAATACCAGAGGGCCTTGCCAAACCAACCAAATGTGTTATGAGAAAGGCTGATTCATTAAAACACTAAGGTTTCATTCCTCCAACTCAGGCCTGAGACTCACCACTCTCCATTTCTTGCCCTCCAGCTCCAGCACTGGGGGCTCCCTCTTGGCAGCTGGTTTGGGAGTGGTCCCGCCAGCCGGCTTGGGAGCCGTGAAAGGCTTGGGGCCACTGCGCACTGGTCCGCTCTGGCTCTTTAAGGCCGGATTCTTATGAGTCTTCATGTCATCTGATACGTGTTTCAAAGCTGCAAAGAACAAGATATTTTTCAGTCTGTTAGTGATGGAAGGGGATCAGGATGAACAAGACCAATGCCAATGCTTGTGCTCCAGTCAGGACACAGAACTGAGAGCCCAAAGCGGGCAACATTCAAGGTTTCCCTGTGGAGATGCATCTGTGGGCGCTGGGGAAAGTCACCAGCCAGTTCCTAAGAATGTGCGTTTGTTTGGCAGGCAGTCTCCCTCTCTCAGGGTAATAGCTTATTTTCACACCCCATTTAAGCACTAGCCATTGTGATCCTTTTGGAAAGGGCACCCAAGGAAGTCTCCTTCACCCTGCTCCAGAGCCAAATTTCTGTTTCCCACCTTTCCTGCAGCGCCAACCAGAAATGGCAACTCATTACATGGCAACTGCATCCCCCACACTAGGGACATGAAGATAGAAACCAAAGGGTCCCTACCCTCAAGCTTATACCCTATTGGAAAGACAACATGTACATACGTGAATACACACACACACACACACTCAAAATCAATACAAGATAATTTCAGGTGTAAGGACATTGGTTGTTGGGAGGATCAGGAAATTAGGATTTGGAAAATAGCACTTAAGCTGAGCCTTGAAGGAAACCGGAAATGCTCAGAAGCAGAAGTGAGGAAAGAGTGCATTTTAGGGCATAAGCGATGGCCAGTGCAATGGAAGATGAGATGTTGCGTGAGGACAGTCTGACTAATGGCAAGCTACATTCCTTAACCACTTACCATGTGTGATACCCTCTCCCTGATTAATCTGAGCAAAGAGTGCTGACCGAGAGGCAGACTCTTCAGAGCCAGAGCTAGTGGGGATGGGTGGGGGAGGAGGTCCAGGTGGGGGGGGAGGAGGGGCTGATCCAGCAGACAGGCTTGATGACACGCCTATTAGTTCTTTTGCTGTGGGTCCCTAGGACAACAAAGAGATTGGTTAGCAAAGGCCAAGACAATAAGCTACATCGTCACTGTACCGGGTCTTGAGGATGGCTACCATAATCCACTACAGGCACCTTTCTTTTCTCTCTGCTGGCCCACTGCTATTCTTCCTCCTTTTTTTCTTCTGTCTACACTATATTTAGGTCTTAGGTCAAGTAGTGGGTTCCTTCTGGGCAGCAGTCTGCC